TTGGTAAAAAAAGGGTTTTCTGGAGTTTCGAAGGCAAGCACATAGGTTTGTGGTCTCCAAACCGTGCCCAACGGCAGTGGGTTTAGCCTTAATTGACGATGGGCGGCATTCACATACGACTTTGGCTTTTGATCGTTTATGTGGACAACTGGTCCGCTGGTTTGTGTGCAGCCACGCCTGAAGATTTTGTCCCTGCACTGGTCCTTACGATCTGCTTGTTTTGCTCTTAGTCTTCCCGGATGCTGTTAGACTACTCTCCGGATGTGGCCATGTCGGATAGCCCTGGACTAGGCGAACAGTTTGGCCACGTCTTTCTCGGCTTCCTGTCGTCCCGCTGCGAAATGGCACGATTTTCTGCGAAACTATCCTAAGACCCCATTATTTAAAAAAAGACTTTGTTTTTCGACCTTTTTTGGCACCCGAGTTAAACTGTTATAGTCCCATTCTTATGTGTTCGCGATTAGGCTCCACATCTATGACCAATGCACTTTCGCTTCCCAATTCAGCCTTATAGTAATTCGACGAACTTAGAAATTAAACCGACGTAATAGTCTTTGCTCGAACATCCATTTAAAGGGTTTACCATATGCGCCAGTACAGCGTATTTCACTGTACGCATAGCATAAAGTGTAGTTGTGAGATTGTCTGGCAGTTTAAACTACACTTATCATGGAAAATCACTTGGACCAAAAGTCTTATACTTTCTTTCCCTACTTGTTTTAGTATTGATGCACACATCAGAGGAATTTATTTTAGTTCTATAGGAATTAGTCAGTTCCAGCCACTGGCGGCCAGGTCTTCAGTTTTGGGCACAGTGGCCGTAACTAGCTAATAATACCTCTAGGGATATAGGTCTCAGGTTCAGGCATTTAGATAGGCCCGATCGCCTACGTTAATTTCATACAGTAAGCACTGGTCTTACGAGTGGTTTCTTTTGACGTTACTTTTTCGCGAGGAGCGTTTGTTACTTGTGGTAAGATGCCTCGATATTTTTTGCCGTTTGAGTCACAAGCAGATACTATGGTTTCGGTTCACTTACTCAAAAAAAACTTTAAGATCTTAGTGGTCTTTCCATCTTTTCCTGCCCTTGTAGCATTTGGTATGGCCACCCAACTATCACCAAAGATCCTGAATATGTCCTGGGGCTCCATCGAAGTCGAAAAAATGGCTGATGGGAAAGTCGTGCCCGGTGAATCTCTCAAATATCGCGACTTGAAGGTTTGGCCCGGTGGAAGCCGCAGCTGGGATTGGAATGAATGTGGTTTGTCTCTGTCAATTCTTGCTTACGCGGCTTTCATTTTAAACTTTGTTGGAAAAAAAGATCTACTTAAATTTTACCAGTAGCAACGTTTATTACTTTTAGGAACTTCACACTGGGGAGGAATCACTGTTTGTAATGTTGCGGAGTTGCGGGAGAAGAAAGTGGACACAATTGTTCTGAGCCGCGGACGATGGGGTTTCCTCTCTGTTCCGCAGACTTTGGTGGATGAACTACAGAAGGCAGGCTTCACGGTAGTTGTGGAGTGGACTTCTCAAGCGATGACCACTTACAACACATTAGTGAAGGAGGGCAAAGCTGTTGCCGGTCTCATTCATACCACCTGCTAATTCACATATAGACTTTTACCGTTTTGTTTGGTCATTCCTCTCCTCTACTACTTTCTGCATTGACCCTCGTTTCTTGTTCTTTTCATCAAGTCCCCAAGACTTGCGTATAAAGTTGCATGGCATCTTTATCTTTTATACAGCCTCTACTGTTTCTCATTCTTTGCATTGCAATCTACGTTAACGCTTACTGTGTTGACCCTTATTTGTTGAGCTTTTCATCAAGCCCCCAGAACTTGCATAGAAAGTAGCATGGCATCTGTATCTCTTCTGCAGCCTCTACTGTTTGTCATTCATTGTCTTTCATCGCAGTTATCTTTAATGCACCCTTAACAAAGAAGGGATGATGACTTAAGATCAAGCCCAGGAATCAACAGAAGGGCGCAGAAAACACCTCTAGGATTTCATGGGACAGAGGGGGCAGAGAAAATACCTGCCAAATATACCAACAGAACACAGCGCGGCCATTCCGGACGACAGATCAATTTGCTCAATTGTCCTAGATCCGGGGTCGGCAACCTATGGCTCACGAGACATACATCTATGTCTTTTTTATGATTGCGTATGGTTCTCTCAGAAACTTCCGATTTTGTGATTTTAGTTATTCTTTAGAGGTCTAAGTAGTGGGTTGTATTCGGATCACTAAAATCATCAGGCCAAATCCCAGATTTGAAGTTAAAAGACAGAAGTCACCAGGAGTGATTTATTATGCACAGAACTTCCAATTGCTGTTCCAGGTGGATGTGGCCACTGGCGAAGCCAGGGCCAGTGTCGATTGCGTTCGGCAAGATACGAGAGAGCTTGAGACAGTGGTGACAGCTGCTTCAGCAGGATTGCTGAGCAGGTTCAAGTTGTCTGTTATTGGTTTCTTGCAATCGCCCGAGGGGATGTTGCCTGCAAATATCTTTGGTGCATAGGCCGGCGGGTGGGATATTCAAATGGCCCTTAGGTAGGCGTGCTTATTTAGACGCGTGTATATGCTGGGTTGACTGCGGTCAACTCTGGGGGCCGCCATAAAACCAAAGAAAAGGGGACGCTGGTGGAGCTGTTACCGGTTAGCCAGAAGCGGCTGCAGAGTCAAGCCTTGAGGGCCGGGGGTGCCAGTGAAAGAGAGCATTGGAACAGCCGTTTGTGACAACACATGACTTTGGGGCATTGGGTCTTGGAGAATGAAGGGTGAAGCAAGTATTGTGGCCATCTGCTCCACCTCCAGTGAGGTGCCGCCGCCGAGACGCGTATTAGAATCAACTTAAAATCGACCAATCTCTGGCGTTTCAGCACCCCTATGTTTGACACGGCTGCTCCGTTTATGGCTTGCAGAGAGCAGCTGCTTCCGTTTTCTCCTGCGTTCCAAAAGCGGCGACACGCT